AATTTCAATTCAGTTATCTTTTTTTTTAATTTAAGTAAAAGAACTATATATATAGGGTGGGACAAAATTAGGTTACAGATGTATTAATTATATTATTTTCCATTTGAACAATTGTAAGCCCACTTTTGTTCTACCCTGTTTATGTAGATATAGATATGGATATATGTATATATATAAATATAAATATCCATTAAGGTTGGCACTCTTTTGTGTTCGGTCTAAGGAATCTTTCTTTCTTTTCCCAACTCTGAGGTAAAAATGAAATTTCCTTGCATTTCTCCTATAAATTTTATTCTATTTTTGACATTTAGATCTATAATCTACCAGGATTTGTTTTGTGTGAATAGCGTGAAGTAGGGGTCAAATTTCATTTTTTTCCTCATGTGGATGGTGGTTGATTATGCTTCCCCTGGCGACCTACAATGCCACGTTTATCATAAACTAAGAGCTATTTGCACAAGCTGGGAGAAATGTGGTTTCCCCCTCTTGTCCTTCTTCATTCCTAGCCTCTGGAAGAGTTGTATAACACCGGCATTATTTCAGCTTTAGAACTACCAGAAATGCTATTTGGGCCTAGAGAATTTCTTGTAGAAAAGTATTCAATTACAAATTGATTTACTATTTACATTACTCTTTATCTTTCCTATTTCTTTTCTCCATTTTTGATCAGTTGTATTTTACTTTTTTTAGAAATATATTCATCTAGATTTATAAATTGCTATTGGCATAAATCTGTTCATAATTTACTGTTCTTACTTTTTTTTAATTTCTGCGAGATCTGTGGTAGGTCCCTCTTTCCATCCCTAGCATTGGTTTTGTGTCTACATTCTTTATTGCCCTCGTAAGCAAGTTATCAGTTTATTAATGTTTCAAAGAAATTGTTTTCAAAGAACCAACTTTTGGCTTTGTTGCTTGTTTTATATTTCAATAACTTATGTCCTTATCTTTATTACATCCTTCCTTCCATTTTCTTGATGTTTAATTTGTTGTTTGGTTTCTAACTTGTTGACATTTTTAACATTGATATTCAGCCTTTGTTCTTTTGCAATAATATGTCTAAAGCTATAAATTTCAATTGAGTAAACAGTTAGCAGCATCCTACAAATTCTGTTACATTTTTATTGCCATTAGTTAAAATTGTTTGTGCGTGCGTGTGTGCTTGTGTGGCAGAGATGTAATGTTTTTCCCATATAGATGAGAATTGCTGTGGTAAATCTTTTTCTTTTCTCTTTCTTTATATTAAAACTTCCAGTATCTTCATGGTTTACATGTTCTTTAGAAATCTTAGGCTTTAAAATATATTAATCAATTTATTTTTATTGTGAACGTACACAGGATGAGAGTCTTTAGAAGTTTAATGGGATTCAATTAAGTGTAACTGTTTTCATATATGCTTTTTTTCTACCACCTAAGACTTTAATATTGTCTTACCTTTCATATATTGCTATTTTACTCCACCACCACCACCACCCAACCCTTTTTTTGCTGTCTTTCAGGGTTGACTGACTTTTTAGTATTCTATTTTACTCTTTCTATTAGTTTGAGAATTGTACACCCCACTAGTATCTTTCAGTGGTTACCTTTGAAATTTTAACCCTCTAGCTTAATTTATCAGTGAAGAATATTAAATATTGTTCCTTTACCCTCTCCTGACCTCACTAACTTTTAAAAATTATTCTTTATTCCTCCTTGAACCTTGAACATTTTGAGTCTTCCTGTGTTTAATTCCTTCAGTTTTTACTTTTTTCCTACAAATATTCTAACTTCCCTTCATCTTTACAGGAGTTTTTTATTGTTTGTAAAATTCTAGACGGGCAGTTATTTTATTTGAGCACGTTTAACATGTTCTTTCACTGTCTTTGGACTTTCATTGCAGCTCCTGTTTAGGGAATTTGTCTTTTTTATTTCTGGTTACCTTTAAGACCGCCACTCGGTCTTTATTTTACTACTGCTATACCTAAGAGTGGTTTTCTTTCTACTTATTCTACTCAGGTTTTGCATATTTTCTTTTTAATTTTTACCAAAATCATGTTTACAGACAGCAAGAGTCACCCTTATGAGAGGCACACCCCTATGGGTTTATGGGAGCACGTGCGTCCCTGCTCGTAAGAGCGCCACAGGCCCTCCGCAGTCCTCTATGGCCGGGATGTTTGTATCCACCCTCCTGCTGAAGTCCTGATCCCCAAGAGGATGGCATGTGGATGTGGCCTTTGGGAGGACATTACGTCATGAGGGTAGGCCACTTAGGAATGAGATTAGTGTCCTTATCAAAGGGTCCCCATAGGGCTCCTGGGCCCCTGCTGCCATGGGGGACACAGAAGCGGGCAGTCGGCAGTCTTCAGCCTGGAAGGGGGCCCTCCCCAGAACCCAACCATGCTGCTCCCTGATCTTGGACTCTCAGCCTCCAGAAATGTGAGCAATATATGTCTGCTGTTTATCAGTCACCCCGTCTTTGGCATTTTGTGACAGCACCCTGAGCTGACTAAGGCAGCAGTCCACCCTCCTCTGCACTGTACCCCACCTCTGGCAACGACTCATGCTTTCTGTTCTATAGTTTTGTCTTTTCCAAAGTGTCATGTACATGAAATCACACTTATAGTCTTTTGATTCAAACTTTTTTCACTTAGTGCTGTGTGTTTGAGATTCATCCACTTTGTCATGTGTAATAGCATTTTTATTGCAGTTTTTCCATGCACTGCTGGACAGCTTGACAATAGTCCTAAATGGGCCCAACTCTAGGCACTCACACCTCAGGTAATCACCTCCCATCTAGGGAACTGAAGATATAACCTGCTTCTAATAAACAGACCGTGGCAGAAGTGCTTGAAGTACCGTCCGAGGACAGGCTGTATAAAGACTGGGGCTTCCATCCTGGTGTCCTTTCTGATGGGCGTGGGGGAAGCCGGCTGCCCTGGTGTGAGGCCACCCCTCGGTGAAGCCCATGTGAGTGGGCTGGGAAGTGATCTGCGGTTCGCCAGGACCCATGTGGGTGATCTTAAACATGCACCATCTGTCACTCAGGAGTCAAGATGACTATAGTTTTACCTGCAAGTGGATGGCTGCCTCACAAGGGACCTTGTATCAAAGGCACTCTGCTCAGCCATGTCTAGACTCCTGACCCCCCAAAACTGCAAAATAATAGCTATTCGTTGTATTTAGTTTCTAAGTTCTGGGGGTGGGTAATTTTTACACAGCAATAAATAGGTAGCTAACACAATCCAGTCACCCGTTGAAGAACACTTTTTTATTTCCAGTGTTAGGTGATTATGAATAAAGGCACCACAGACATTTGCGTACAGGTGTGTGTGTGAATCTTGTTTTCATTCCTCCTGGGTAAACACCCAGGAGTGGGATTGGTGGGTCACACTGAAAGTGTATGATAAAATTCATAGGACACTGCCAACTCAAATCTGTTTCTTTTTTCTTTTTTTTAAATGTATCTTTATTGTTGAAAGTATTACAGATGTCCTCATTGACCCCCTCCACCCCAGTCCTACCTTCCAGACCTTCACTGCACCATTGTGTTCATGGGTTATGCATTTATGCATTTAAGTTCTTTGATGCTTATATCAGCATCGGGAATTCTCTAACATTTCTCACCAAATCTTTTCTCTTGCCCATGTACCTTCTCTTCTTTCATTAGGATTCCAATAATCCTTCTCCCCAATTGTATCTCTGTGCCTCTAAACCATTCTGGAATTTCCATTCTTCTCTTTGGCTTCTTTGTGTCTCATTCTGGATATTTTCTGATTTCTCTTTCATTTCCCCAGGTTTTTATTTTTAAATGACTGTGTCTAATTAACTTTAAACTCGTCCTTCATTGTACTTAATTTTATGACTATTTTTTAATTTCAGAATTTCCATTTGACATGTTTTTATGGTTTCCCATTTCTGCTGAGATCCTCAATCTATTATCTCCTTGGGCATTGTAAGCATACTTATTTTAAAGTATGTGCTTTTGAAGTCTGATCTTTTGAGCACCCATGGATATACTGCAATTGACTGCTATTTCTGCTTATTTTTTTTTTGGCTTATTTTGTTTTTTTTCACTATATATTGAATTGAAGTGTAGGATGCTATAACTGGGATATTTATTTTCTCCCAGGTACCTGTGGGTCATGTCAATCCCTGTAGTTGGATTGAGATGGTTCACAGCTGAGCTGAGGTTCCTGATTCTGATGCATATGAGCCTTCAGATGGACACTTCAAGGCCCTACGCCGTGGCTTTCGCAGGCCCTAGACTCAGTCTGTGCCCTCCATCCTTGGCGGCACCCAGACGCACAGATCAGTTTTCTGTGCACAAGTGCCCCGAACCACCCTTGGAGAAAAGCCTAGGCTGTTCGGTGTTCTCACTGGGTGCCAAACCCACTTTTTCATTCCCTCCCTGTGTTTCACTCTCTTCGTTTTCTATGCATTGAATCAGATTAAATAAACAAACAAAAAGTTTTTCTCAGACCTTTTGGGTGTTCTCAGAAAAGGGTTGGTCTGACTCTTCCCCATCAGCCGTCACTTGAGCCCTACGCTTCTTTTACTTGTGAGAGGAATGTTGTTTGTTTAAGCTACTATTAGACAATGTGTGGATACATATGGTCAAGCCAATTTCTAAATGATACATTGCTACACTCAAATTAAACCCTTAAAGCCGGTTTGGCATTTACCATGCCTTCAATATTATTTCTCCTTCACACATTTTAGGTATGCGAAGGAAAAGATTATGTTTTAACTCTTCTGCTCAGTATAAGTCTCATATTATACTGGCTATCATAGACCAAATACTCCATAAATATCTCTGAAAAGTCATCTAACACCAAATACAATTTTAATTCTTTAACTTATTCTATAATATGTTGACAATATACCTTACAGTGACGTTTTGTAGTTTATATTCTATTTTCCAATTTTTAAGTCTACTTAATTTTTATGTTTTAAATCCATTCTCCCTAGAAAGTTGATACAATTTAAAACTTATATATTTACTTCTGAGTTTAAAAAGCACTCACCGTTTGAGACGGGATTTCCATTTTCGGTAGTGATAGCACTAGAGAGTGAATTAGATAACTGAAGTCCATGGTTATTTGCATTTCTATCTTGAGTCTCTGATGCGATCTCTGATGTACCAGGATCATCTCGGCTAGTCAGGTTCATGTTAGTTTCAAAACCTAAAATAAATTTTAGAAAAGATTATTCTTTTCTACTAAGATAGATGGACTAATTTGAATCAAATATTGAAAGGGAATGATAAACTTCTCAAAATGAACATTAACTACATTTAAAATAATAACTTAATAATAATACTTCATCAAATTTGTGGCCTACAAAATATTTATCAAATTTTGCCAAAGCATTGTTAACCATAATGGTCAAATGAAAAATTCAACAAATATTGATAACTGTATGGTTCAAATAAATTTGGTAATTCATTATTTTCCAACACATTATACATAATTTTTTATGTCATAGGTCAAATAACTTATCGTGGCACACTTGAGAAGCCTATTACCTAAAAGTGTGGCAATAGTTGTGTTTCAGAAGTTCTCTTAATTATAAAACTAAGCAGAGCTGAAACAATCTTACAGCTTTGGAACAAAATAAGAAATATATTCTTGACATTATTGTAAAATATGTTATTATCCATTAAGGAATACTATACTTCAAATCCTTACCTCTGCATTTTATGCCTTGACAAAATTACCTACATGTTACTGCATGTACCAAACTGAGTGCGCTGATACAAACAGAATCATTGTCCAAATTAAGCTAAAGAGCCCAATAAAGATTTTTTTAAAACTATGTATTAATAATAGAGTAAAACGTAACAAATGCTAAGGTTTGGAACAATGTCTAACCGAGGTAGGTTTTTAGACAATGACGGTATTACCCACAGGCAGGGTCCGTGAGTGGGAATGTACATACACGTCAAGCATCGCTGTCGCCATGGTGTCAGACGGGCTTTCCCCATGCCTCTTCACAGAGCAGTGCCCTCTCTCAGACTGGCCCGGCAGACCCGGGATTGGCTCCTGCTTCCCCAGGTACCCCTAAGAAGCTCCACCCTACTGGGAGATTCTTGTTCAGCACCAAGAATATGCATACTCTTTCTGCTCCTATCTGTTGGTACGCAGTAGATCCTGGCTGTCTTTAGTTAGGCCTGTCTGAAACTTTAAGCTAACAAATTATTCAAAAGGCATAATAAGCATAATTTGCTTTTTATATTTTACATGGGGAAGAACAATATATCTTCCATGATTCCTATAGGCAGGACCTCAGTGGGCAGAGAGGTTATCCTCGTATTGCTGAAAAGGAAATTAAGGTCACCCATGGTCATGCCTATGTATTCTGATGATTGTGCGGATTTGTTTTTCCACTAAAAGACAAATTAGACTATGTCATTTCCAAGAACTGCTCTTTAAATTCTAAGAAATAAAAGAGGGAAAATAAGAAGGGAGATTGGAGGGAGGGAGAAGGAAGGAGGCAGGCCAGCCAGCCCTGTAGAGCTTGGCTCCCAAGACTGGGCTCGACTGGATCCTTTCTAACTCTTCCTCTTGGACATTCTCTTCCCTTGCCCTTGAGCCTCACACTCAAATAGCACCTTAGGCCATAGGTATCTTTCCAGATGCTCCATATTGACTCATGTTCCAGTGCTTGGTCTATGCATTCCTCTAGTCTGGAATGTGCTCTCCACTCAGCAATCCTGCCTCTTCCTACCCACCAGCGAGGATCTCGTTCAGATCACCCACAGTGCAGTGACCACACATTCACCGGTAATTAGCGTGCAGCACAAAGAGGAGCTCGGTCTGCCAAGAAGGAAGGTGTGCTAAGGTTTAGAGTAGAAAATGCTAGACAGTTAGAATGAAGGCAAAATGAGCAGGGCTTTAACAAGCAGAAGACTTTCTATTTCAATGATCTGGTGAGCCATTAGAGCTCCTGACTCCTTGTGCTGAAAAAGCTTTGGCCAAGCCAACGTGCATAAGAACAGCGATGACTATGAGGTTGAGTTGCCTTAATTCTCAACAATGAGCAATTACCAAACAGGCTGTAACTGAAAGAATACCCATTCAATTTGGTCAAGTCTATTTTTCTTTTTTAGCCTTTGAAAAGTTAGTAAATCAGGTTTTATTTTAAAGTGTTCTGAAGACAGACACTCAGCAAGTTTTATTTCTGTTCAAGCTAATTTTTTTTTCATTCTTTGATTTAGTTGTTTATCGAGTGCCTACTATGTGCCCAAAACCTTCCAGGTGCTGAAGCTACAATAATGAACATCACAGAAGGCAGCTTGGAGCGTATTGCCCAGTTTGACAACAAACAAGCAGATGATTAAAAGTGGTGAACTTGCATCTGGGTAGAAAGCTGAATGGGAAGTTGGGTGGGCAGCCAATGTTTACAGGCAGCATGGTCAGGAAAACATCCCTAGGAGGTTGCCGTGAGGCTCAGAGAACAAGGAGAGAAACAGATGGTTGTGCTGACAGACAACCTCGAACATGTGTGAAGACCCCACGCAGGAAAGAGCTCCCCTTTTTCAAGGACTCAGGTTCTAAGGAGTTGGGCACGTGGAAGCAAAGGGCCTTGAGAGAGGGAGACAGGCGTATCACTCAGGGCTGGGGAGGACCAGACAGTTTGCTTTTGCTATCAGTGCTGTGGGAGGTTACGGCAAAGGGGTATGAAGCAGGAAGAAGCTCCCTGGGTGACTGGGGACAGTCCTCTTGTGTCTGGTGGTACAAGACTCAATCCTCTGAGACACTGTGTCTTGGTATGAATATCTGATGCAAGCTTTCCCCATAACTGATTTCTGTCTCCTAAACAATTGATAGATTTAAATTATAGTCAAAACCTCCTGTTTTGCTTGTAAAGTTAAAAAAATATTTTTATATTTCAGCCCTGGCCGGTTTGGCTCAGCAGTTAGAGCGTCGGCCTGCTGTCCAGAGAGACCCGGGTTCAGTTCCTGCTAAGGGCATGTACCTCGGTTGCAGTTTGTTCCCCGCCCTGATTGGGTCGTGTGGGTGGCAGCCACTTGATGTGTTCCTTTCACGTCAATGTTTCTCTCTCTCTCTCTTCCTCCCGCTCTATCTGAACAAAAAATGAAAAAATGTCCTCAGGTGAGGATAAAAAATATTTTTATATTTCAGACCGGTGGGTAAAATTGTAGCCAGTAAATGTTTATAAATTTGTCACACTAGGCTGTGATCGTTACATTATCTACTAAGATTTTCTATTTTTATATTGAAAGCATAAGTCTACTCAAGAATGGCTCTGAATTTGAATAAGGAAGTACATCTTTCTTAATGTAAGACAAGAATTAACGGCCAACCTAATGATTATTATTCATATTGCTTTTACAATAATTACCATCTCCTGAGTGTATTATGTGCTAATCCCCTGCTAGATATGATACTTGACTTAGCTCTTGTTTTCCTAATAATTCTGAAGAGTTGTCACTATCACGCCTGTTGTCAAGTGATGAGGTCATTGAGGCTTGGGGAGGTTAATCTACATGCAAACATTTCACAATTAGTTAGTGTTACAGATGGATTCAAACTAAGGTACAGAGGGCTCCACCATCCACCCACACTCATTCCTGTGTTTGGCCCCTCATGTAAAGTCTTCCCTCCTTATTTCATTTGCTGGTGTAAAAGGATAAAACAGTTTCCTTTCTGTGCCTTAATCACCCATCCTCTGTGGTAATGAACTGGGAATTATAGAGTGAAACATTGTTCTCTAGCTACTGAAATATAGTTGCAAAATCAATATAAGTGTCCCCACACTGGGGTTATCCTTATTCATTAACTGGGGGATTCTTAGCCAAGTACATTCTGTGTTAGCCTTTGCTCACAAACACCCTTATTCCAAGTTAGATACAAATGCACAAAAACATCAGTGCCCAAACTTTTAATATCTTGATTCAGCCTCAATTAGGGTCAAATGCAGACATTCTCAACAACTTGTTTGATTTTATTGTAAAGTGTCAACTTAGTGCATAAATGGTTGCAATGTTCCTTGTCAAAAGTATGCCCCTCACCCTGTACTTAGCACTGAGGACATTACAACAATGACCAATCAAGAGGACATTGACATGAGGTCTGAAAGAGCCTTAGTTATAAAAGTGCATATACAAGATGCATATTTTATGGAGACTTTTCAAAGGAATATTACAGAGCAAACAAAGTCATCAAGTTTGTTCATGCCTCCAAGCAGTGGCCATTGGGCTCTGAGGGTGAAGAAAAGTTGGTCACACCAAAAGGAAGTATCTGAGATTCTCAAGGAATCGAAGCAAACAAGTAGAGAAGTGAGAACTATCAGATCCTGTGTAACGATTTAAGGTACATCTGAGTCACTTTTCCATCTCTACATCTTATGCAATCAGTGGTTTGTGTTATTCAGTGGCATCCTTTGGTTGGTGTGTTGTAACAATGGTTGATTCAAATACCCGTGGTGGTTTATTTTAGCCTATAAACAGGATTCCTCTGTGACCCCTGCCTGGTGTTATTTTTACAGGTATGGGAGAAATGAATCACATTGGCCTCTTACTCAAAAATAAAGTCTTGGCCTTACATTAGGATATGATTATTAAGTGCAGGTATTCAAAGAAGGCACAGTTAAGTTGAATCTAGTGAGAGAGTTCTAGCAAATCCCTAAATGTGAATACAAAAAAAAAAAGTTGCCCTATGTTAGTTTTTATATAACAAAAATATCATGCTGGGTGGGTGTGATCCTTTGAAACTGTGGTTTTCTATAGGAGGTGCTATTGCCACCCTACCCTCCCACCTCTGAATAACATTTGGCAATGTCTGGAGATGCTTTTGGTTGTCATCCTGGGGGCGGGGATGCTACTGGCTTCTAGTGGGTTGACAACAGGAATGCTATAGAACACCCTATAATGGACAGAACGGCCTCCCACAATGAAGAATGTCTGGCCCAGAATGTCAATAGTGTTGAGGTTGAGAAAACCTGTTATGAAACATAAGTCAGATCATGCCATTTCCCCACTCAAGTCTCTCCACTGGTTTCTCGTTTGCTTCGGATTAAGATCCAAAGGTTTCCTGAAGCTGAGAGACCTTCCATAACCCGATGCCCTGTTCCCAACTACCCTCCTTGTCACATACCACCCCTGAACCCCTCACTCAGCCTCTTTTTTTTACAGGAGGGAGCACGGGGCTTCTGCTCAAAC